CACTACAAGGTACTGAAAATCGTCACTCTTTCATATATGAAACAAGTTTCTACCTATGAACTTTCCAAACTTGCTTAAGAAGCTCTTCTCTACCTCTCTATATATTCTACTTGAGAATTTATCATAATAATCAATGATAATTTTTCCCTAACCTATTTTTACAAATATAAATCATAGTAAGTTTGACTAAATATCAATATGTGACAACATGCCATTGGACTCCTGAACCTTCTAGATGTTTACTAATCTCTAAATTGAGGTGAAAACATGACATTTGTGCCTTTCCAACTTCTAGAACCTCCACTTGCCACTAAGTCAATATTAGACTTAGTCTAATCAATGAAGTTTCCCCTTACTTAGTCAAACCAATCTAAACTAAACAAAGTCAAAAGTCTTTTCTCTTATAATCTAGACTTTTGTACAACACAAAATAGAAGTGCTCACTCAAATCTTCTATAACTTCTCTAGTTATTCCGTCAAGTATAGATATTATAGCCAAACATAGTTATAACTTGATAAATTTAGTTATAACTAGATTATCATTATTAACTCTTTGGCTACTTCTAGTTGTCTTTCACATATATAACATCCGGTTTTACAGTCCGCATAGAACACAATTGAACTGAAATGTCTCGTAATGCACTACAATTGTTGAGCTTCCACCGGCCTTGCTATAGCCGAGTACATTCGACACCCATCTCTTCTAGATATCAACACCAACACAAAATTGTGGTGGCAAGTCGAAGCTTCCAGTGGGATTCTCCGCCAATACTTGTTCCACTTGTTCAGCAATCTTGCGGGCAAGTTTGTAAAATTTGAGTGGCAGATCTGGAAATGTGATCCACTTAGGCCATATTACCCCTAGCGGCATTCTAGGATTGAAATTGCATGACCATCGTTTTATCATAGATGATCATGCATCCGAGTTGTAACGATGAAGATCGAAGGTGAGAATTCTATCAGTGGTGTTTTGTCCGTCAGTACGGACGTAAGTAAATTTTGGCCTACGATGGAAATTAACAAACTCGGGCTTGACCAGTTTCTTGAGGGAGCTCCATCATGCTTTTCCAGCTACGCACATGAGATTGCCTTCGACTAGAAAAGTATTTTGATCTTCAGGTTCCAGAGTGAATGAAATAGCCCCTTTGACCAACAATCATGATGGTTCCTGAAAGTGCCTCTTGGGAAAGATTGGCTAGCGCGGTATTCAAGAACATGATGCCTTCGTCCAAGTCCATTATTGAGCTCAAGCCCATCCTCATCCCTGCATTCAGGACGGTTTTGTAAGTAACCCTGGTCATCACCATTTCGCTAAACCAACTCTTTTCGTCTCGTGGAAGAGTTCTTCCCCTTCAAACACCACTCAATCGAACCGGTGTGCGGAGCCGCTCACGAATCTAAACAGAACCGTAGGCTAGTAAGCGCATGATGGGCGTGATGGCCATCGCCGAAGCATGGCGCACTCTGGTGATCTAGCGCTATAGCTCCGCCCTCGTCGAGCTCCTTAGACCCCCAAGTCCAAATTTCATTTCGGTCATTCGTACAAAAAATTCTGTCCGAATGTTTGTCTGCAGCAAAAATTTGTTTACTAGAGGAAGGATTTTGTTCGTATGGCTGAAATAGTCCCTCCAGTCATTCATTCACACCGACAGAAGTAGAGCCGAAGTTATCAGCGAATGAGCTGAACGGTTCAAGGTGATGAAGTTCTTCCGCGAGGCACTGACCTTTCCTCCGTGGGGCCGCAGCTAAAGTACAGAATTTGGGATGGTTAATGGCCCGAAGTACCTTTCATCCGTTGGTGTGATAGCCTGCGACTTCGAAGCAGATCTGGAGTCATTCAGAGTTTACTTCGGCGTTGAAACATTCTCAGCTCTAGAACTTCCAGAAGGCAAGAGACGACAAATCCTACCATAATTGTTTCCGATGTAAGCGCTCAGCATGTCCCGGAATTCCTGCGCTCAAGATTTTGCTTCAGGCCATTGACCGGAACTCCGAGCTGACTGCCTTGAAAGCACAACAGACACGGTCGAAATTAGTTCGCTGATCTTCAGCGTCCCGCGGGGATGAGCTCAGATGGGGCTCCGGTTGCTATTTTTATTATTTCAAATTAACCTGCGCGGTAGCACAGAGAGAACCCAATCTGGAGAGAAGTAGAGCACACCAAGTGGAGGCTTATCCGTCATTGATGGCGATAAGTCTCTTCGTGCTTAATCCGTTTATCTTCATGTCTCATCACTTTAACTAAGATGTCAGAATATAGTTGGAAATGATGCCTATATGAATGTGTCATTGGGTAGCCAAAGATTCTATGTATTTACTGCTGCAGAGTGGTAACATGTCGGTTATTGAAGAATTGAAATTGTATCAATCAAAGGATGCTAAGCGGGAGAGTTTTCATTTTCTTTATTATGTTTTTAAGAAATGATTGTAGTAATATATTGGTTACAAGATCTATACTTGTCTTATATAAAAATATACAAGAAGAATGAGTGCCATATGAAGTTAATCTTGATAATATTTTTGAAAACAAGTTGATTGGGATAATTCGGCTATCCAAATTTAGATTATTTTCAGATAATATGTACATTTTTATGTTATTAGTTTATATTTTTTGTCTAGCATAATTCTCCGGATGCCGCTTTATCTACAAAATCCTTTAAGGGCCAAACCACACGACCGGTAGCGGCAGCGAATCCCTGCTTGTTATTGGCAACCGAGGTTCCCCCTTTACCACACGGGAGGGAGCGGTAATTTGATATATCCTAGGTGGCAAAGAAATCGACTTCTCAAAACTACCAGGCACTTCCGACTGGAAATCCGGTTTTTCCGGAATATATAGACTCCACGTGTACTTTCGCGCCTTCCTGGGTTACTCTTCCAAAGACTTCTCACCGCTGCGTTGCAATTAGTAGACATATTTTTCCCTTTTCACTCCAAAGGCACTACCGGTAGTGTGGTAGAGGTTATGGAATTCTCTCCAGCTGGCCAACTTAGGCCTACGAAAACCTGGTTTTCTTATAGCCAGGAGCTTGGTGCCGGCTGACGGTAGTGTGGTAAGGCCCTAATATACATAGTCCCGGTATGTTAGATGTACTGCGTGATATTTTCAATTGCGACCCGATTGGGGTTAGCCCCATGTTACCCTCCAGGTTTCATCTCTCGATAAGTAAAGGACCATCCTACCCATCCTCTTTATTCTATCACTTGGGCCCCATTCTCTTTTCAAGACCCGAGAATGTTATCGAAGGAAGACGATACTAGAGACAGGAGGCACCACAAGAACAAAGTATAAATTTATAAAAAAAATCCACCTCTGCCCACACAGCACCAGGCGCACATGGGGTCATGAATATGCGGCTCACGTGCTCGAAGTGGCGGAAATAGTGCTTCCTCTTGTCAGACACAATTTCACATACCAACATTTGGGAGCGAGCGCAATCCTCGTCCGGCCTCCAAATTCTCGATTCTCGCTGTGTCGAGGGCCTTGCACGTTCCACCAAACGATCGGCCCAATCGAGCCCGACGAGAGAGAGACAAAGAGAGAGATCAAGGACGACACCGGACCAGAACAGAGGACCGAGGGCCGTCGCGCCATCGGCGCCACGGCTCCACTTGTTGGCCATGACCGGAGGCCTTTGCTTGTCGTCCTCAATGTCAGGAGAACATGCACGAGCCCAGGCCATGATTTTCACCTCGTCTGAGGGCGGTCTCGAGAACTGTAGGAGGCGTCGCGCTTGTCAGCAGGGGACAGCGGCGGGAGGGACCGACCTCACCTCACCTCACCTCACCCGGTTGCTTGCTTGCTGCCAGGACCAGGAGGACTCCTGGACTTTATGCGGAAAAGTCTGCAGGTGGGCACGTAGAAGTTTCAGCTGACTTCGGCGCATTTAGACCGGGCAAGAAACGAACAAAGCTTTGTTTGGCACGCAGATGATCTTTCGCATTCGTGTAGGACGCCCCGTGCTGTTGCTGTATGCTGCCCATGGCGGTCGCCCCATGGGCCCGGGACCGCCTCTCTCGCTGTCAGAGCTGACCAGTGAGCGCATGCTCGACGTCCACCGCTCAGAGCGCTCAGAGCTCCCTCGAAGCCCTTGCCTTGCCGTGGACCGCAAGGTCGAGTGTTCTGCCCCTCTCGACGATCGATCCATCGGTCGGTTCTCGCCACTCTCTTTCTAATTACGTCGAGTGCGAGGACTTTCAGTCAACACTCTCAGGCATCGATTTCTTCTTCTCCACCGAGTGGATTATGACCTTTTCACGCCTCGATCCTCTCTGATTCTCACTGTCACTCCACTTCACTTCACTTTACATCGCATCACATCACATCACTCCGGCAGCTGAAGAGGACGAAGAAAGCGCTGGCATCCGTCGAATGGAAGTTCAAGAAAGCGATGGGGATGATATTTTCCAAAGAGTGGAGGTAATGATCTTTCGAGAGAGAGAGGAAGGAGAGGGATACCGTGTGCAACTCTCGTTTTCTAGCAGGGGGGAAGGGGTCGTCTCTGTCCTAGATGGTTAAATTTAGCCTCGCGAGTCTACAGCGATCAGAAGCGGGACATATACTTAAAGCGTCCATCGCGATTCTCGCTCCCTGCACGACTCTGTTCGAGCATCCTGCACACCTTCTAGATTCTGACATCCCCAGCGGCGCGGAGGCATTTCTGCATGCCGACTGCTTTACACGTTTTCATCTGCGGTGAAAAAACTCAAGGACTCCCTCTGTCGTCTGGATCCGGTGCATGGAAAAATCACACGTTTTTCAACCATGATCGTCTTTGACCCACATTCAAATGTCTGACAAGATCAGTTGACAAGGCAAACCCGGGAACACCAACGCCGAAGTGACGAGAGGTTGACATTTGGCTCCACCAGTTGTCTCGACTCTCGAGCCGGGGGGAGGGGAATCAGAAGCAGAAAAGGCGTGCAGCAAGAAGGAAAGGAAACAGAAAAGCCAACGACAGACAGAAAAGCGAAGCCGGAATCTGAAGTTATAATTCGTTTACCAAGTTTAAATTCCATTATGAGGAAGGGCCCAGGCCACTGGCCGGCAGCAGGCATACACACGCGGTCTTATGGAGAGGGGACTAGTCATCTCCGTGGAGGTGGAGCTTGCTTGGTTGGCCCAAGGCTAATTATTTCAAATGTGAGAGATTGATCGGTTCCATGACGAACAAATCGAATATTTGATGGTGCACCACCAAGCATAAAGAATTGTACTCTACACGTAAAGAACTCCCTGGAATGTGTCTCAGACAAGGATAGATCAGGCGCATCCCCATCCTTAATTTCTAGATATACCCTTGCTTCAAAATCAAGGCTGCTGCTGGCGCTCCCTTCTCGAGATTTCCTCTCTCTCGGAAGAATTGAATCTAACTCTTGTGTTAAGCTAACCTCGACCTGTTACAACATGTCTGTCGCATTCGAGCCAGTCGACTGACTAGCGTGTGTTGATGATAGAGAGACTGTGCTACACTAAAAAAATGTCCCGATCCCTTCACAATGGCGAGCAAGGGACCCGTAGAGCTTACTTTACTGTACAGGGGCGGGGGAAGGAGGGGCGGAGGAGATGGGGGTTGAAAGATTGATTATAGATTACATTGTCGTTCCTCTACACTTGTCAAGCTATATCCAGAAAAATCTCCTCGTCGTCAGTCATCTTGGCTCTGCCTCTGTGTGCCTGCCTGGCTAGAAGTTTTCCTTGTGGAACTCAAACCTAGTGCTCGACTTGTGCGTATATCTCTTGGCCAGGTGATCCAGCTCCTTCGCCAGCACAGACGGTCCGCAGTAGAAAACACCAACACGCTTGTCCTTGTGAGTCGCTGCCAGCCTTGAGAATACCTTCTTCCAGTTGGGCCGAGCGAAGTGAGTACGCGCCTGCATCCGATCGATTGCGTCAGTCTCCGGCACACTCTAATTCGATATTTCTACAGGCAGTAACTAACATCCGCGAAAAGCTGACAGGCAGAGTCTGGGCTCCGGAGTGACTTACCCTGGTGCCCGACACGAAGTCTACTCCATTCTTAGCATGATGGAGTGCTTGCACCATCATAATAAGGGCGGATCGGGCATCTCCTTCCTCGTACACCGATGTCAAGTAATTGTGCATCTCGATCACTTGCTGCAAGGCCAAACATTCAACTCGTTAAGAACAAGTCCCGTATGACAACAGCTAAGGCGCGACAGGTGGCTCGAGACAGAAAGCAGCAAGTTAAATGCTCTGACGGAACATGGGCCACGATCACCAACCTTGTGGTCAATCTCCTCGACCTCCTTCATGACTCCTCTGAACCAGTCGAAGGAGCCTTGTTCCCTAGTTACCCAGTAAAAGTATGCGTTAGTGGTTCCGTGCTTCCTCGGCTTCCTCGCTGGACTGGCAGGAGGCATACCGTTCGAGTTTTTGCTTCCGGCCTCGACGAAAGGAGAAGCACTTCCCATAGAACTGTTTCCTACACTCTCCCCGATCGAGATGTCCGACCCCATTGAAGTTAGAGAGGCAACAGACTGCATCGAATGGTGGACGGAATCCTGCACGTACAGCGTCAACTTCGTTCAGAAAACGACCACAAAATTCCATTCGTGACGACTTTTCCTGACCTCCAATGACCACCGAGCTAAGAACAGAATCTTTGAAACGATTTGGCACCGGTGTAGCTACTTACGTCTTTGATGTGGTTAAGCATATCCTTCAAAATACTGATAAAAGGTGTTGCTCCTATGCCAAGTCCGACAAGGAGTAGCACGTCATAATTTCGGTAGTCTTGTGCGGGTGCCCCATAGGGTCCATCGATGCAGACCTTCGGAAAGCTGTAGGCAAGGAATCGTCCACAACCGAGCATCAGAAACAGAAACAGACTGTGAACGGATGAGGACAATTCCAACCTCCAATCAACTCTAAACGAGACCCAACGAGGTGAAAATAGCCATTACCTGACGTTCTGCACCAACTCTCCGCTCAGACCCCAGTTATTCACGGTTTGCAGCCTCTTCTTGCCACCAGATGCCTGCAGTTACAGACGAAAATTCAGATAAGCCTCCAATTTGAAGTGCTAGGGCCCAAGACACTCGGATGTGATGGGAAAGCAAGAGAAAGCATTTCTGGATGGAGGAAACGCCCACCTCTTGGAAGAGGTTACGCAATGCCTGCGTCCAGTCACCCAAGGTTCGAATGTGGACACTCAAGTAAGCATCTCCTGGTGCAGAAGTGATCGAGAAAGGATGCCACTCGAAGGGAGAGATCTCGGGGCACTTCAGGAACATGTACATTCCGCTCTTGTACTTGAAGTTAGGGGGCTTCGCGAAATGAAGAGCCAGCACATTTCCGGGATATATGGCAGCCTACATTACCATAAGCGAAACATTCCGGATTAGGCAAGAGTCTGAAACAAGTACATCGACTAGCTGAAACAGAAACTCTGCATTTCAGTGAGAATGTAACGGGAGTTGAGGAATGTACCTTCACAACGGTCACTTTGTATTGTCCAGCTCGCAGGGATCGCAATGTTCGCTCACCGCAGTACAGAACCAGTGGCACACATAAGTACATCCATGTCTGAAGAGGAAACATGGAGATGCTGTTAGTGAATGAGAGCCACAGAACTTCCCGGTAAAAAGGAATATAGGAACAGTTGCATCGGTTTGCCAGCAGAGTACATGACAACTTACAGTCTTCTTCCAGAAACCATGGCTGAGGATGAGGAAGATTCCGTGGATGATGAGCAGTACGTACACCACGGCGAACAAGTGGTGGCTGTACCAAAACGCATTGAATCCTGTCATGTTCTGGAACGGCCAGGGGAGCTTAATCAAACTCCTCCTGAACCACCTGGTAGCCAGGGTGAAAGATATCGACATCAGAATCACCATAATGACGCCGGTAATACCCTCGATAGACGTCAAGAACCACAGGTAATCTGGTTGCTTATGATGGAAGTCGTTTCCCACGCTGCGTTCAAAGAGCTCGTTATCGGCCGCAATTATGCGCGGAAAATCGCAGGCTAAATGGACCCCTCCGTGAACTATGACACCGACGGCAATAGCGCTAGCGATAACCTGCATGAATACATTGCTCATTAACACAGGTTTGATGATATGAAGAGCGCCAGCTCAATTTTCGTCAAAATGCGTGTAATTTGGCAATGTGAAGCACTGGTGTTGAAGCGGTAGAAGCTCACCTTATGAAAATTGAGGTTATCGTCGAAGGGGACAATTATCCCTAAGCCCGTAGATCGCAACCAAGTTATTGTATTACGACACACAGGAAGAAGGATGAGCGCCATGTTGAGTTTCAGAGTCTCAGCGGCCCCCTTGGCAGTAGGTAAACAATAGCCCATAATCTCAAAAGCAGCCCTTTTCTCGTATTGCTTAAATTTCCAAGCAAAAAGGCCAGCCATAGTCGCTAGCCATACAAGGATGACCCAGATCCGCTTCCAATTGTCACTGAAAAAGTATTTCGTCCCTCCAGCTAGAACCTGGAATCTTGTTTTGTTCCGCTGTGGAGCCAAAGACTGGCTGTACTGCAAGTACGCATCTCTGCTAAAACCTCCAACCGGTCCCCGCATCAAGGCCTCGAGCTGCCAGAGCTGCATATTCACATCCCAATTCGCATTAACAAACCATAAAGCAAAATTTACTGGGCATAGAGTTCCAGATCCGTGAAACTATTATTCATAACTCATAATGCTTGCACTGATTTCTCTATCAACACACCTCAATGTACCCATTGTTCTCTTGGTCGAGCTCTTCCATGATCAACGCGGCGTACTCTTCTGCCTGCTCCTGGAGTTTGGAGAGTCTGTTGGCCGACGCACTCAGCATGATGACCTCCTTCACCTCCGCCCCAGAGATGCGCCCATCTGCATTCTTGTCACACCTGAACATGCACAATTTCAGATCAGGACTTGGAAAAAGCCGCCCACCGAAATTCTATTCATGGAAGATTCGAGAAACTGTGTTGAGTTGTAACCCAATACAAAGGTTTTACTTACAGATCAAAAAAGATCTGCATCCTGGAATCGAATCCCTGATCACTAATCTGGACCCAGTACTCGTAAAGGTCGTCTTCAGTAATTGCCTCCACCTTCTTGCCTTTACGACGTGTGAGAGCTTCGAAAAGCTCACCAGCAAATTCTTTCGATTCTTTCATCTCTGCAGTCCACAATCATCCATGTATGTGTGAGAATGACTCCTCCAGTTTTGGGCACATGAAGGCAAAACAGAGATGGGCGACGCGGTTTCAGAATCGGCAGCAAATCAGCATTTTCAGGTTTACAGACAGGCTTGCATGCGGCTAGATGCAACACTGATCCCTCAAGTAGCGCGAGAAAACCCAAAGGTGGACACAGTACCTATGCAATTTGCGAACTGCGATTTGGGCAGCAGCCCGTCAGCATTCTTCAATTTGTGGAAACGGGTCTTTACGGCCTCCCACTGCTGCTGCTGGTCAGCCGTTCCGGTGGCTCTGTTGATGAAGCGCAGCCCTTGCAAGGCATGCTCTGCAGAGGACGCAGACCTCGCTAGCCGAGGATTGGCGGGATTCAGGTTGGCCGGTTTCACAATATTCGGCTCGTTGCCGTTGGGATCATTTACCAGAGGATCGAAGTCCGGAGAAAATCTCACCGACAAAACGCGGGATCCAGTCCTTGACAAGCGCTTGAGCTCCTGCGAGATGGCTTGCACTCGCCTGGAAGCAGACTGCTTCAAAGTCATTGGATTCCTCATGCTCGGCCTCCTCTCCAGACCCTCTACAAGTATCTGAGCGTCCATGGGAGTGATCACAGAAGCCGGAGTTGGATTCACGCTGCGTAAAGTGACCTCATTCTGGTTCACATCCAGCATCACTTCCACCATTTGATCTCCTTGATCACCTAATAGATGCTCATTTTGCCGCTCGTTCCTCGCCGTTCTCACGATGTCGTTCATAGTCCAGGACTTGGGCGAGTTCCCGGTGCTGGGATCCACTGTAACTACGTGCTGTCCGTCGCTGTGCACCACACTGAGCTCTCCAGAAAATCTCGTCGTCTTCGCAGCCCGCGGGGCCTTCTGGGGTTCTGCCGGCTCTCCTGAGCTGTTCAACTCTCCTGAGAATGCTGGTTTTCCTTTCAATGCTGGCTTCATCGCCTTCGGCATTTCTGCGGGGCCACTCCTCGGCAGCTCCCCAGATCGATTCATGACGAGCTTACAGTAGCTCCTAAAGCTACGCGTCCACGGAGAGATCAGCAGCAGACAACGTCAGTCCGATCTCCTCAATTTAGAAACAAGTTCGTTATAGCTGCAAGTCTCTAATGTATTATGCAGCAAAATCTACACCCTGCTTAGCTTCGCGTCGCTATCAATCGAATTCTCCCTCGTCCACTGATTGTCCTACTGAATTAAAGGCCAAATGTCAGGCCTGCTGCATCCCCCGCGGCTGTCTTCAGAAGGCTATCAGGGGCCTTCGTCATCCCTTAGTGACAACTTCGGGAGGGGCACTCATATCTGGTCGTCCGATGCCACCGCCCGCCCGCAGGACATGGATCAGCCTGTCACTGGCCAGATATAAAACTGTGGGCAAACCACAAACCAAACTCTTTTGTTCTTCTTCTTCTTCTTCTTCGCCTGCCTTTATCGCAGACAGGCCGATAGATATGTTGTGGGTTACTACTGCAGCGCAGAAAGACTCAAGGAAAGGGAAACAAGGACTTCCTACAACAAGCTCGACTCCTAATCTCCTGATGAAAAGGAATAGTAGTAGATTAATGGCGGCAAGGGAGAGAAAAACGCAAGCAGGTGAAGAAAGAGAAGTGACAGAGAGACTGGGTGGCAGCCACTCGCAGAGTGGACGTTCGGAGTGAGGCTGTGCCCCTGTCTGAGAAGACGTCTATCTATCGACAGTACTTCCTCCCCGCTTTGTCAAATAGAACGAGAGACGGGAATCTCCGTTCCGAGGTTCAATCAGAAGGCGATGAGTGCGAGCCCATGTGAATCGCGGACTCGCGGACGTGGATTTATGTGCCAATGTACTCCTGCTCGCCGTTCCTGCGCTCAGGGACGAAGTTCCCTGCGACCTTCGGCAAGAACTTGAAGGGAACCCGAGGTGAGGGCAGCGGCAAACAACTTCGTTTCACCACGGGGCTGCTGTGGCCACAGCGCAACTCGTCCCCGTCTCAGCAGACTAAAGTCATCGTGCACGGACCGGTGGCAGGACTCAGAAAGCAGCTGATGTTTCTTCTCGAACTCAAAGGCATCACCATTTGACCATCCCAGTCCATCCCCCTGCTGTCCTTCCCTTTCCACCCTTCCCCCGCCTCCACTCTAGCCTCTCCCTGACCCAGCCAACCCTCTCCTGCCGCTCTGCTGATCCCGCATCGGCAAGCTCTCTCCGTCTCTCTCGCTTTCGCCTTCGCCTCACCAACCCTCTGATCTCAACCCAACCCTCCTCCCCCCTCCACCTCGCCTCGCCAAGCCTCAAGCCTCAACCCAAATCAGATTCACAATCGCAATCAGTCGTAAATCTCTGTCCGTCTTCTTTTCTCCCAGCTCCCTCACTTACACTCCTGATTTCATTAGCCGAGCGCCTTAAGCACCAGCCAGCGGCTGCTCATTCACCAGAACTAGTGGCAGTCGTCGTCGTCGTCGTCGTAGCAGCCAAACAACAATCTCAATCTCAATCTCTCTCACTCTCGCGGCTCTTCGACCTCTTCTACCTGGGCCTTGATCTGGATGATTCCCTCCTCCTCCTGCTCCCCGACCCTCCGGCCTCCTCCACAACTAGAACCAAATGAAACAAGGAAGAATCGTTTTGGCTGATGCAATGTGATGAATCGGTCTCCGGCCAGATCGGCCGATAAAATACGAACCTGCGGCCGACGCTTACGAAGAGCGCCCTCCCCGCGCCCTCCCCCTGCTTACGGATGTTGACTCGTCCCTCCCTCCATCCCCCGCCTCGGCCATCCGCCCTGCCTTCACTGCCTTCACAGCTGACATCCTCTGGCACCCCGCGCAATTCATGTCATCCTCGCCAATCCGCGCTCCGCTCTCTTTCCTGTCTGTAAACTCCCCGCGCTTTGACCTCCGGTCCGTCGCCCTGCCTCCCTACAACCCCCGGTTCTCTTCGCTTGTCGTGCGCCCGTCATGCTCTGGCCCCTCTATCTAGCGGCGCCTCTACCGCCGACTCTAGCGGCGCCACTGCCGCCTTCCGTCGCGGACTTCTTTGCCTCGCCTCGCCGACGCTGCCATGCCGTCCCGTCCCGTTCGTCCGTCCGTCCGGCCGGCCGGCCGTTCATCCGTCTGTTACGTCCGTCCGTCGGTGATGCGACGGCACCGCCCGACGACGCTCGCCAACCGCGTCGGGATCCATGTTCCGTAGACTTTTACCCCGGGGTTGACGTTGGCGGCCGACGACTTGAGCCCATCGAGTCGCTCGCGCGTCCATCGATCGGATGGATTTCTGCATGCTGGGACGGGTAGGTGGCGGGACCGATAACCGATAGCTGGTGGACTCTGTCGCCGTCGTCTCCATCGCCCGGCCCATTACGACGCCCGACGCCTCCGTCCTTCTAATTACATCGCCCCCGCGCGCCCCTCTCCCCCACCACTACCTGCAGTTAACCCTTTGCATCTGCAAAGTCCAGACCGACTTATTGCGTCTCGGAGGCGGAAACTGCACTGCATCGCACGGTGCACAGTACTGCACCCCTGAAAACCACGTAAGCTCCGTGTTTGCCGACTGTACAGTGACTTATTTTGCAACTACAGTCGCGTGGACCTCAATGACCTCTATAATTATTGATAATCGATCTCGCCACGGTACTATCGTTTCGACACAGGCTTTACTCGGTTGCGATCATGTCTCACCAGTTAGCGCCAATTCAGCGTTTCTTCTTCTCCAGATTTTTCTTTGACCCAAATCATGACCACGTATATGGTTTCTGAAATATTTGTAACGGAAGAGAAGTACATAGAGGTACATAGAAACTTGTACATGGCGTTTTTCCCAGTAATGGAGACATGTAAGAGTGCGCAGAAATAAATCAAGTGTAAAGTCGTGTCTAATTTATTCTTGACTCAGACCCTTGGCAAACTATTAAACCTCGGGAATAGATTATCTTGTTATAATAATATCATAGACGAAACATAGAACAAATTGGCCTCACCAGGTGAGCTGAGAACAATGCCCCTATAGGCTCCAATTCTTGGTTCGAAACTTCTGCATGTATGGGCCATCATGCACCAGGATTCTCTCCTACCCTCCTAGACGTCCATGTCATCTCAAAAAGTAGTGTTGCGCCTTCCCAGACGTCTTGGACACTGACTTGAAACTTCTCTTGAAAAGAGCGACGGTAGCTTTCGTGCTTGTTGGATACTAATTCAGCTTTTTCCACCGGGCAATGGGCAGGAATGTAGTGCCGTGATTTTTTCCTTTTACCAAAAATGTTCACGAATAAGCTTCGTTCGGTGTGTGCAATGTGCAACACTTTTGTGAAAATATTCCGTGTTGGGTGTTGAATCTACGCGTTTGTGAGCGGATGTGGCAGGATTCGACGACAGTGTATGCTCAGATCAAGAGTTGTTTATTCACCTTTTAGGATGGAATGGAGTTGAAAGGACGAATTATGCTTTACTCGGTGTCCAATTTTTGTTTGCTGGTATTTCGAAACATACGGATGTTTGTGACCAGAAGAATGTCCGCAATGTTAACCACTTTTCTCTGCCACGTCTTTTGATCGTCGATCGACACCAAGACTCTTCAATCGAAACTTGTATACTATCTTCTTCTCCTTTTTCAATATACGCTGTGCACTAGGAATCACTTTAAAACTGCAGAGATGGGAACAAGAGGTTTCAGGTCTGCCTTTCGGCTCGTTCCAGCATTTCCAAATAATACTTTTCTCGAAGAGTACTGCGAAAAGACAAAATATGAACATTTATTTTGTAACATTCTATTGAACATGACTCCAATCGTGTGAAAGTAGGTCTTTAAGCCAAAATGTCAAAAAAGAGAACTTCTTTCATCATAGCCGCAGCAAATCATCAACTTCGCCTCTCCCAAATTTACACTTTTATATGTATTCACGCTGATATATGCAATGCGCATGTCCATTTATGCGAATTGTGCTCAAACCCTTGGGCTATCATATGGCATAAACTTCTTGAAAAACAGAGAATCCTTGTCACCAGCATCTATCGCTAACTAGACAAACTCACATGGAAATGATGTGAGCAAACTTTCGGCACGTTGCTGGCTGAATAAACTATTATATCAACGGCCAATCTTCCACCGCTTCGTGGCTTATCTGCCAGAGCGTACCCTTCCAGATGGTGGAGTGTTCTGATCCCGATCTACGTTCTGGAACGTAGCCTTTCACCTTTTCCGTTTCTTATCGTCGGAATGCTCGCAAGGGTTAATTTGGCGCCTGCCAAGAAACTTAAAGTATTTGGCGTCTGGAAGCTGTTTTAACACGTTTCGGACATTTTCCTGTTTGACTTGAATCAGTCTTCAAGCCTGTCATCCTTAACCAGCTGACCGGGATCTGCTAGACTTGGTATTTTTGCGTAATCATCCTTCTTCCTCTTAATTCCAACTATTAACCATGGGTTAGGACTGGATGCAAGTTAGTTTGTCTTACTATAGAACTGTGTATTTTGCCCTTTACGTCTAAGTTTTACCCTAATCCATTCTTCCAAAAAGGAGGAATCTGTATAATGTATATCATAACCCTTGAGCTCATCACCATTAAGCTAATTCGCCATCACTTGACTGAAAAAAAATTGATTAGAATAACATTCTGATTAAGCTCCTAGATATCTTAAAATAACGATGATGTTAAAAATGAAATAATGTACGTAAATCAAATGAGTATGTTTACATATATTATATTATAATCCCCCTAAGTGAGAAACTAAATTCTGGAAGCAGTATTATAATAATCAGCAAAACTTTATCCAAAAAAAATCAGGAATGCAAGTGACTATTAGATTCTGAAGTGTAAGGCTTTTTACTTGTACACTTCATTTCTATATGTCAAAAATCATCACTTTGTTTGGCAAGGGCTATTCAGCCTATCCCTTCAACCATTCGTATCACGATTTCTTTGACCTTCACGATTTCTCGTGCCTGGATATCGAGATATTTCCCATCTATGCATGCCAAGTGGTCATCCTATAGTGCACGCACACCTTATATATTATTCTGTTCCGAAAGCAAAGAGACTCATATTAGCCCCTTGATAAGAATTCGGTGGCCATACCTTAGACTAGCTTCGATTTTATTATTATTGTCTTGATCGTTAAAATGTTATGGATCCATCACATTAAGATACAGCCTCCACCGAAAAAAAGTAAAAAAACATATTGATGAAAAGCTGTGAAAGCCTTCAAAATGCAAGATACATTGGGCTACTGGGTGATTCAGAACGTCTAGGACTCTAAGAGGCATAGTTGCACATTTCGCTTCCCAATCTATACCACGAGTGGGACCAGAAATCTTTCGAGCATTTATTTTCCTCCGAGGAACAGGGCTCTTTTCTCCTTTCTATGTTTCCAAACACATCCCCTCCCATGTCACAGCTTATTGGTTTCCCATGTGACGGCTACTTCGTCCCTCTCCATGGCGTGACTGGGTCTTATCTACTCAGTTCATGCGAACAAGTCCGCTGTACTTCTTGTCTACTCTGATGTTCCACAGATATGCGAATCGCTGGCTCAGCACTCGTCTTCAGCTTTGTGGACCACCGTTTGAATCTTTTGACGATGAAGAGGTCTTCCCATCCATTTTTCTGCATAACTAGGTGGATTTCAGTTCTCGTTGGATGATGAAGAGGTTTGTCGATATACGTCGTTCTCGTATGATCTTGTTAAACAGTCCTTGCATGCGGTGTCAAAGGGTCACGGCATCTTGGAAGGAGAGAATTTGATAAAATGGTATGAGCAAGCAATGGAAGACTTGATGACAAGATCCGGTGAAAGGGGAGACCCCGGCTTGACTGGCCATCTCATAGATTATTTTATTGTGTTCGTTCCGACGTCGAGACTGATTGGACTCGACAATGGACAGCACACTACCACCGAGTTGTTGAGCTGCTAGAGCAGTGTAGAGAGGACCCAGGGATGTGGCTACGACAAGGTCCAAATGAAGGCCACAGAATCTGGAGATCCATTTCATTGGCTTCGCAGCTTTGGCACACTAGATGATATGGCCGTTGCATGGTACTTGTGCGAGATGCAAGTCCAATACAAGTCAGCTGATTTGTAGACTCGAGTTGTTGCTGGCTTGTCTTCCGGTCATTGGGTCAACATCGCCTTGGAAGGTGGGATTTTTTAAGGCCTGTGCTGCATTTAACACAAAACTCGCTATATAACGTCGGCCCACTGAATTAAAACAGACCAAGCGTAGATTTTAAGTTCCATTCATTTGCAAGTCGATAATAAAAAATTGCACGGCCTCCGAAGTGGCAGTTGAGTGACCGTACGCGCACCACCTTGCACCGTAATCATGGTGAATGATAGTGAGATCATGTGAGTATCGCACCAATTTACACTTGAACCAACCAAAAAAACAAAAACAAGCAATAAACTTTGACCCTCAAGAACAAAATTGCAGACCCTTCTCCACTATGAAATGGACAGTAAACTTCTGCATGCTTGTTGTGGGCAGTGCCAACTTGCACTTTGTGAAGCAGGGTACCAAGTAATCTAGCAATAGAGATAGGAAGACCCCATCAAATCTTATATGTATGAAACCAAAGGAGTAGCATGGGGCTTGGCCCTAACTTGCAGGGTATAAAACAAGTTACAAAATCCGAATTTGCTTATCTTTCTACTGTAGCTCGAGTTTTGTGACAAACATCCATTCTCTGCTTTGCTGCGTTAT